CGATAAATATACGTTTCTTTATGGAAAGATCGATTTTAGGTATTCGCCGCATGACGAATAAGACTGTTGTTACGTGTAATGGTTAGAATTGTTGCTTGGTACGAAATTTATAACGTTTGTCGACTGGCTGTTAGTCTCCTTCGGCGATCTTTTAGAATTAATTATCCCTGCACTAAAAACTGATTTTGTTTTTATAGTTGTCATAAGCTTATTTTTCATTTTTAAGGAATTCTGAAGGTGGCTAAGTAGCGAGCAGTCGAATCGTTAGGTTATTAAGTTAACTGACCTTGTGTTCAATGTGCGTTGAGATTTTTTTTTTTTTTTATTCACACGATGTAAGCAAGAAATTTTACATATCAAGCACGTGGACCGACGTGAAAGTTCGGAAATATTTTATTTCAAACCAACCCCGAATCAACCGTTTCACGGTTATACCACGATTTTGATCGGAGCCTGTCCAACGCACAAGTGCGAAATTCGATAAATCGATAATTAGGATAAGAGGATTGCGCGATGTATCGAAACCAATAAAACATTATTGTTAGAAAAGACGAGATTACGTGCCTCTCTATTGGTATCTTTTTAGGAGCCCGAACAGGGGCGGATTAAGGCAGGAGCTTTAGCGATTAAGCGAAAAGTTATTTAATTTCTGAATGCTGAATTAAAGTATAAGTACTCTCTAAATTACATATTTAAAACTCGTTGTTCATAGTTCCAGCGGTAAGTTGCGATTAATCTTCGACAGAGATTTAAGAGCGGATGCCAGCGAGGCAAACGACATTCTACTCGTAAATTAGGTCTGTTGGATCTTAATTTGGCTCTGAGCCTGATCGCGTAAGATCCTTTGGCGCGATGGTGACGTCGAAAGCGAGCGGTTTATCGCCACGAGAAAATTTCGTCTGTTCGTTTGTTTCAGGTTTCGGGCGAAGGTGGCAGTTCGGCAAGGTCGTGATGAGACCGTCCAGGTACAGAAGACTTCAGGCTGGCGTCTACGTCTGCCCTAGTCCGAACTGCTCCAAGTCTTTCAGCTGGAAGGGCAATCTGAACAGGCATCTTCGATACGAGTGTGGTCTACAACCCCGATTCAAGTGTCCGTATTGCGAGTACCGTTGCAAAGTTAAAGGGGACGTGAGTAAGCACATCCTGAGAAAACATCACGGCTCCACCGTTTACGTTCTGGACCTGTTCACCGCCTGATCCTCGAGCTATGGAGCCGCAGACGTTGACCAGCCACCGACAACTTCCAATCTTGTACTTTTTACGTGCAAATAAAACGCAGGCTTTTTTCTTCTCGAGAATATTGCGCATTACTTACCGAGCTAGCGATTAGAAAGGCACTCAGCGAGTTTCAGGAATCCTCTGGACTTTGATTTCCTTTGGATTCGAGCATGCGACTACAGAGAAGCACACCAGCACGTTCTCGCCGTTCCCTTTGATCGCAGGTACTCAATGGTCGAAGGATACGCGATGTTTAATGGCAACAAGATACGCGGTTAAAAAATTGGTCCTTGGTTATCACGTTCCGTGCCACGTGCATTGCCGGTGGTACACGCAGATATGTTTACTTAATCACTGATAGCATATAGTTTATGAACAATTTTGTAAAATATATTTCCATGAAAAGAATGAAGCATGAGTGGTACACGATGTGGTAACTGCTCTAAACAAGCCAACTACTTATGGATCGATGATGTAACGAAATATTGTGCGATAATATATCAATCTTTAGTCAAAACACCAAATGGGCTGACCGACAAGTCGGGCAAAAGAACGGTTTGGCACGGAACGTGTTGTACGAAATTGTTTGGCATGAGTTTTTCCTTCTCGGGACTATCGTAGTCGAAGTTGGATCGCGAATCGAACATGTTTTCGCGTCGTTCTTTCCCGATTCGTCAGGTTTTTCGCTGCTCTAGTGGGGTTTTGTGGGTCGATCGGAAGGAGAGAAAGTGCAGCTAGCGAAATCCGACGATAACTCGCGTATAAATTGTTTGGCAGTTACCAAAACGACTGATAGCGAACGAAACGTTCTTTTTCAGGGTTCAAAGGGTCCACGTCGCGGTTGGACCACCGACGCACGAATTGGTTTATGAAACCTAGCACGTACGCCTGTCCGAATCTGAATTGTCGGAGCGTCTTCGCTTGGAAAAAAAATCTGACCAGCCACTTGCGTTACCAGTGCGGACAGAAGCCTAGATTCAAGTGTCCTTACTGCGATTACATGTGCAAGGTGAAGGCAGACATACGGAAGCACATTAGGGTGCAGCACAAGAACCACGACGTCTACGTGATCGATATCTTCCAATCGTGGGAGGTTCTACATTGACCGGGAGTTGTCTCGACGAGGAGACTCGTCACGTTTCAATCTTCATCGACCAGCGACGTCGTCGACGACCAATCCAACGGCTCTAATTGTATAGGAGAATTAAATTTCGCTTCGATGGCTTGCCTTACACCGGCTTGCCCCGAATCTGTCTGTAACGAAGTCTTGCGTTCAATAAAGATCCGACCGCTTTCGTCGAGCCACCGAATCGAGCGATGCTTTCGCATGTTCATCGCATTTTTGTTCGTTCCTTGGGCTAACGGGTTACACACCTATGCAAAAGTACTAACAACGAATCATCCAATCGAAACGTTTCGAAAATAGGAAGAAAATTCATTTAACTTTTGTCGAGGCGAGATCGAAATGTCGCAAACCTCCTCGTCGCCCGTTCGACGAAGCCGAGGGGTCGAAGAAACGAGCGGCCTCGACGCACCACATTTCGTCAACCTTAACATCGACTTTTTCCCCTTCTAGGTCCTGGACTTGGGATCGATGTTCGAGGACAATCGGAAAGTTTGGGCGAGTTTCCCAGAGGGAAGAGATTCCCCTGTCCGAATTGCCCGACCTCCTTCGGCCAGAAACCGAGTTTGACTAGACACTTGAAGTACGAATGCAGACAGGACCCACGTTTTCAGTGCCCTTACTGCCAACAAAGAAGTAAAAAGACCTCGGACATTTACGCGCACATCAGAAGGAAACACGCAGAGTGCAAAGTGTTCGCCATCGACATCCACGGCGACCCGATGCAGTATACGACTGGCGCCTACCATCTGGACTGGATCTGAAACAATTTCCCCGCGCCAATCGCGTCGATCGACTTGCGCTTGTAATCGCATAAACGCCACGAATACGGTAATCCCTGATTTCGGATATCCGAAACGATTACCTCTCAAGTTGGATACGTTAAACATTTTTATGCTTGTAGTCGCGAGTATTACGGATGGCTCGACAAAGTTTCTCTACAAACAATTTGAATACAGTCGGGATATCAGGGATTACCGTACTTTGCGTAAATTTTATTCAGTATTACATTAATCTTGCTTGCTGCCTCCCGCGAACAACGGATTTCTGTTTTTGGCGACGCCACGAATCGCGGTCTGTACAAATTTTTCATCAAACGACGAATTTTCCCGTAAACTTTATTGTATAGAATAAAACAGAGTATTCGGAGGAATAAATGCGTTTCTATGACACTACATATTTTCATTTCGCAGTCGCATGCACACTGTTTGAGCACATTGATCACACGACGATATACTCCCCGAGCGGTCTTCTCATTTTAGCGTCTCGAAGAATGGATGGGATTTGGTCAGTCTCGAATATGACAATCGTCGATCGAAGTTGAATTAGAGTCTCTATAAAATATATTTCGATTACCGAACTTGAAGAAAAGAAAAGCTTCGATGTTGGTACCATTTCTCTTAGCTTTACAGACAATTTTACAAACCTCTAAACTGAGAAGACCCTTAAAAGCTCCTTTCTGTTCGTTCGCCTGGCAGCGAATCCGAGTAGTTAAAACGATTCAGCGAATCGAAAAGCTCCACGAAGGCATTCACGAAAGAAACACGACCGTTCAAATCTGTTCCAGGATACTACAACGAATGGTACAGCTACTGCCCTTGGAACGCGAAACCGTATCAGTGTTTGAACTGTCCGAACAATTACTCGACGAAAGTTCACCTGAAACGTCACGTAGTCAGCGCCTGCAACGGGAAGGAGCCTCGCTACAAGTGTCCCTATTGTACCTATAAATCGCGCTACCCGTCAGACACGTACAAACACGTGAAACGTCTCCACGAATTCCACGAGGTTTTCGCGATCGACGTACAAAATCAGAGGACCTACTTGCCGAAAGATACCCCCACGCTGCAGGACAACAAAATGATATTCTGAAATCCGAGCGCGCGAAAGATCGCGCTATGTACAAACGTTAGGAATGAGTAAAGAGTGTACCTAAACAGTACCAAAGGAAGTCGCAGAAGAAAGCACGCGTTCTTTGAATTTCTCCCTGTCCTCGTACAATCATACCGTAGCAGTTCCAGGATCGATCGGTGACAGTCGAAGCGAACAAGTTTTCCCATGGAGTCGAAACGAACTTCCTTCGACCACCATTCGACGGACGCAGGTATACACGTCCGAAAACCACATCTCTCGAACTCTACTTTTGTTTCAGGTGTTCCGCCAACGCGGTGTCTTAATTCCCACGTCGACGATAGCGACGATCCTTTCGCGTTTCGTTAGTTGGCTCGCGCGTTTAAACTTCGGTTAAAAGCGAGTTACTCGTAGTTGTTGCACGCACGAATCTGTCGCCGGCGATCTTTGTGTCTCTCGCTGCTGCTGTCCGTGGACTGTGCGCAAGTATCTTGCTGGGTTTTCTGTTTCAGTTTGCCGGGGCATCGTGTGGCGGAACAAGTCGAAGAGGTTCTGCTGTCCAAATTGCCCGAGTGGATTCACTAGGGAGACGAACCTTCGGAGGCACGTGCGGTACGGATGCGGCCAGGGACCGAGGTTCAAGTGTCCGTACTGCGACATGCACTCCAAAGAGATCTCGAACGTGTACAGGCACATTAGGACCAAGCATCGGGGAATGCGCGTTTTTCTCACCGACGTCGCCACCAACAGGCAGTATTACGCGCGGAAGAACTAAACGAATCGATTTTAACCGATCACACCGTGTACAATGGTGCTCGACTACAAGCGGTGGTACTTCGTACGGGTGCCGCACAAGGTAGCGGCATCGTTTTAAGGAAGGATGTCGCCACAAAAACTAGCTACCAGTAGTTATTCAGACAAAATTTTGAAACTTTGTACTCTTACGTAGTTTTAAACGCTGAATTGAATGGCGTAAACAAAAAATGTATAAACAATTCTTTTGGATTTTTCGATCCGCCTTTTTTTTTCAAATAATTTTTTATTAAAAATCCAAAGAAATTGTTTCGACATTTTTTTGTTTACACCATTCAATTCAACGTTTAAAACTACATAAGAGTACAAAGTTTCAAAATTTTGTCTGAACGATTACTGGTAGCTAATTTTTGTGGCGACATCCTTCCTTAAAGTTCGCCAATTTAAGACGACCACTATTATACACCGGTCGAGCTGGTCTCTGTGGCTCGACGGATCAATTGTACAGTGCGACGAACGTCCTACGACGCGAACGACATTTGTATCCTAAACGAATAAACGAAGTAACGTTCACTGTGTTCAGCTTCTCCGATAGCTGTCGTCGAATGTCAAAAGTTGCTCGCTGAAAACCCTGTTCCATCTGTAAGCCTAAGCAGAGAATGTATAATAAAAGTTGCTTATCCGTGGCACCGAAGAAACTTTTAGTCACCGATCCCGACAGACGATACCGGTAGCGTTTCTTCTACGTTCTCGATCGCTCTGCACGATTACCCTAAGTTCCGTCGCTGGTACGTCGATCTCTATGCGGTATCGCGACGGGTACAGCGATCTCTGGACAGCCTAAACGAAAACTCGACTATCGTTTCGGTTATCCAGGGATTATTGTGCTTCGTTCAAGTTTATCGCTTTTGTCACGATTTCTACCGTTCGTTCGTGGAAACGTATCCAATCACGACGCTTCGCTTTTGATTTCAGGCACGATATATTTCCCACGGTCGACGGGTTATCATTACCCCGTGTGCCCGGGTCAGTCGCAAGAACCGCCGCTCTGTCATCGTCCGATTAAGCCCGGGAGCAGCGACAGCGACAGGTTAGTTGTCACAACAAACACCTTGTCAGTCCGTTTCGTTTCCGTTTCGTTATCCGATAACTCTGCCACGAACGTTAACCACTTCTCGGTTACGCGCTCCCGTCGGTCACGATTTTCCGTTGACGGTACCGCACGTCTCGGACTAAAGTCTCGGTTCTGCGTGTCGTGTCGCAAACCCGTGGAAAAAAAATACACGTTTGCATTGCAGGATGGAAGAGAAAGACGGTCTCGTGGAATCGTGTTTCGTCGGCTCGGCGGCTTATCATCGCCGTTTGATCGAGAGACATTTCCCGGAGACCATACCGCCGACGGAGAAAAAATCGAAACCCGTGAGAAAATGTGTTCAGTGCTCGAAGAAGATATGCGCGAACGGGAAAAGAGTACGCAAAGAGACCAGGTACTACTGCCCGGAATGTGACGCTGGACTGTGCATCACCCCTTGCTTCCGACTCTACCACACGACAACCTAATGCGACGTGTCCCTCGATCCTCGATACTCGATTCTCGATTCTCGATACTGTCGAGCTCTTAGTCCTACTCCCGATGGCGGAGGAATGGCAATGTTCCGTTCGCTCGCGGGCTACGGTTAACCGAGAAGTGGTTAACGCCGATTAATAACACTGACTAATAACGCTACGGTGCGTCAGGTACACTTGTCCAAAGTGCGAAAGGAGTTACCAGCATTTGCACCACATGCTGCGGCACTGTAAGTTCGAGTGCGGTAGCCCGCCGAGGTTTCAGTGTCCTTACTGCGTGATGAGGAGCAAGCAGTCGAACAACGTTTACAAGCACATACGTCTCAAACATCCAGGATTGAAGGCGGAGGTCATCGTGCTCCACTACGATCAGCAATAAACGTTGCCGACGGTTGACTTTCATTATATTTTTTTTTTCTTTCTTATTTTCCCTTCGAAAGTTGAACAATAAAGGGCGATTAACCGAGAAGAGTGTGTACTTCGATTTCACCATCTCCTCGTCCTCCATCCTTCGATCCCTCGATAGTTTGGTGTAGCGGGAGACCTAGCGGTTTCCTTCTCGGGGGTACTTGTTCTTGTCACGCTTCGAATCGACGTCATTTTAACATTTTCAATCGTTTTGCAGGTTGAGAGTCGCTTGAACGTCAGCTACGCGTCCACGTGGGAATCAGCGGCTGCCATTGATCGTTACACTTCCCGCAAATTCTCCTTCTCGCGCGTAAACGGGTTGTCCGGGCATACTTTGTCCCCTATATATAGCTTGAAGATGCCTGCAACCGCTTTATTTGTTTGTCTTTAACTCAACAAAATATTTTACCACCGCGCGTGTGTCAGCCTGCAAGCACAATCTCTCCAAGACTTCGACATAGAAAACCAGACCATTCATTATTGCCTGTAAGCACTTGTTCCCCGACGATTCGCCGTGTACGATTCTTCCTTTCGCGACGATTCGCACGGCGGTTTGTCCTGTCTCTAGCTCCGGGGTTTCAAACTTGGTCGGATTGGTTTGTCGCGTTTAACGAAATTCGACGACCTCGAATAATATTCGATGATTTCCTTACTCGACTGGAAGTTGCAATCTTTGATTTGTGTCTTACCGTATCAGTCGAAGCAGGGAATCGCGCGTCACGAAAGCGCGTAGACGAAGAACGAAGCTCCTGAAAGTACAACAAAATTACTCGTTTCGCGTTGAATTTAATTTTCGGAAAAGTTTAGGAACCCCTGATCTAGTTCATCGTTCGTTCTCTTCAACGATCTCGCTATCGCTTGCGATCGAATGGAAAAAAACAGTGGCGTTCGTTCGGTGTGCCCGCTGGCTCGCGTCTCCTCGACTTCGTTGCTTCGAAACGCTTGAGAGGCGGTCGCGGTACGCGTCGAAAGCTTTTCGAAAATCCCAAGCCCCCCCCCCCCCCCCCTGCGGAGGAACGTCGTTGCCGATTTGTTCGAGCTAACCGTGCACTTCCATTTCTTTTTCAGCTTTCCTAGAAATGTTGCCGCTGCCATGGGCCGATGACAAGTACACGGAACTTAGTCTGAGAAAGAGTAAAACACGGTTTCCGTGTCCGCTGTGCCGCAAGAGTTACACGACCAAGAGCGCCGTGACGGCCCACTTCAAGTACGATTGCGGCAAACCGCCGCGCTTCGAGTGCCCGTATTGCGGAAAGTTGAGCAAGAAAAAGTTCAACATCCAGGATCACATACGGCACAAGCATCCCTCCAAGCCAGTCATCTGCAACACGTTGTTTTAGGCAGGGGCCGTTTTAATACGTGCCGGCGCGTCCAGGAAGACTGACATACTGTTGTATTCGCGCGAACTAGCTGACGGAAGTTCGCTTTAATTTTGGAATAGAATAATAATAAAAGTAGGAGCAACGGCGTAACCGTTTGCGTCACCGAATGGACATCGTTCGCAAGAGATCGGCTTGCAATTCGGAAACTATCGCTCGGAACTTTGTCGTTATCAGGTGCCTGACGTCCGATTTGATTTTGTCGAATCGAATTGCGCGCGACGGCGCGTTAATATTTTTTAGCGGAGTTGAAATTAAGCGGTGGTACCGCTTCCTTCGATTTTAATCGAGAAACGGGGATCGATGAACCTGGATTAACGACTCGTGTACATAATTTATAGAGGTATTTCTGTACAAGGATGTGTAACGCCCTGCGAAATCGGGGATGCCTGTTAGTCATGTAAATTGATCGGTATCTGACTCTTGTTTAGAAAAAAAGAAATAAAAGCGTTTCTAGGAAAAGCAACGAACATTTGGTCGTTTCATGAATCGTCGCCAGAGAGTACTCGTCGTTTTCATCGTCTCTCGTCGATGTACTTGCCCACCGACTACCTCCTCCCTGCATGATTATTTCCTGTGCGTACTGTTTCGTATCCCGATATTTAAGGCGATGCTCGACAAAAGTTGTCCGTGAATCAGCTAGCTTACAATCTTGACTCTGGTACGATGTTTTGTAGGTGACAGGCCCGGCGACCTTCGCGCTGCGCGCAGAAGGAAGTTCGCCAGGATAATGGACACGCTGTACAACTCGAGTACGGGGAAATATCACTGTCCTAACTGTAACAACGGCTACGGCAGACGAGACACAATGTTGGGTCACTTTAGGTACGAATGCGGCAAGGCGCCGAGGTACAAGTGTCCTTACTGCACACTGTGCAGCAAGAAGACATCGAACATTTATCAACATATCAGGTGTATGCACCCGAAAGAACTGGTCACGCTCGTTAAGCTCTATTGAGCTCCTTCTCGATTCCTTATCGGGATCCTCAGGATGCCAACCGAGGCTTCCGCGTCCTTTGGAACGTTTCGAGGTACTCCTGTTCGCGTCGCAATTCGACGACAAGGCTTACACCTGGAAGCCTCGGTTGGTATCGCCCACGAAGATCTTGAAAGTCTCGAATACCATGTCCTCTGGATACGTCCCATTCGCCGTTGTTCATAAGTTGGAAATACGAAGAAACCAAGACTGCGATGTACGATAGATGGTAACGACTTCGATCGTTGTACAAAAGAATAAATGCGATCAAGAACCAATCCTTCCTTCGTTCGTGTCGTTCGATCTCTCCTGTTGTTTTTCAGCGATGTCGATCATACAGCCAGCCCATCGAGTGCGATCGAAAGGTATCACCGAGCCTCAAATGTTCACGAACTAACCGTTCCTTCGACTTGTTTCGTTTCAGATGTCGTGGAGCAGCTGTCGACGAAGAAGTTCGTCTGCCAGATCTGCGGCAAGGGCTTCAGTCACAAGCCGTCTTGGAAGAGGCACTGTCGCCACGAGTGCGTCGGTATCGAACCACGTTACGCCTGTCCCTATTGCGGGAATCGGAGCAAATACGCCAAGGCTATCTATAGACACGTGCGGAGAATGCATTTTGGTTTAGAAGTCAAGACGAATCTCCTCTATTGTACGTGGTATTTCGTCTTCGTTAGCGTTATCGATAAAACAACCGCCGTAAACAGTCGGCCCTCGACACCTTTGCACTCGACGTTATTTGTTTTAGTTTAGTTTATTAGTCAAACTAACTATACGCGTGCCATCGACTCCTAGATGCAGCTGAAACTCGTCATCTTTTCAATTTTCAAGCCTCACTCTGTTCTCTACAAACCGACTTTTCTCCTCGTGAGCCTTAGATGCGCACATTCCGATCCTCCTCGTTATTTTCCAAAGTTTTCTCCAAAATACAGATACTGTCTCGGCGTCTACGACAGAGTCACACACACGGAAGTCAGCTACCGAACAAGTTATCGAACTCTACGCAACAAACTATTTCCTCCCAGAGTAACAAACCGCACGGCGAACACTCGCCGGTTCGCGTCTTCCATAATTTGCTCGTTGGCTTTACCGAGTGCTTTAATCGAGTTAGCCTCAATAAAATCCGCGCACGTGAGTGTATTAACTCGACACCACGGTCTTGGTTTCAGAGTTTCGTCGAGAATCGAGGTCGGAGCCGCATCTTTCGCAGCGGATTTCGACGCAACAGCGCGAGATGTTCTCGGGCATGGCAGCCTCGCAGAAACGGAGACACGAATGCCCGAAGTGCGACAAGTCTTTCTCGCAGAGTTACTCGATGTACCGTCACTATAGGTACGAGTGCGACTCGTTGCCGCGTTACCAGTGCCCTTATTGCGGTCACATCAGTAAGTGGACGCACGCGATCTACAATCACATCAGGAAGATTCATCCTGGACAAGAAGTCGCTCTGAACACGCTCTACTAGCCTCGCCTGGCCATGGAACTCACGGAACCGGATCGTCAATGTATTCGTGTCAATAAATAAGAAATCCTAGTGCAGTGAGCGAGAATTGTATGCTTCTATGCGAAAAAAAAAGAAAGAAAGAAAGAAATAGAAAGTCATCCCTTATTCCGCGAGAGTTTCAGGGCTTTCCAGGCAAAGAGCACATACGGTTTTTTTAACGCGCCATCGATCCTCGACGGAATCGACGGATCCGAAACGATCGTTCGAAGCTTACGTTAATCCACCACCCGTGTCCCGTTGGGTCGTGACCGTTCCCAAACGCGACACCTCCGATATAACCGTACTCGGTTTCAGAGGAGAATCACTTCCACTTTTTCTCTCTAACGGTAGATCCCCGTCTCTTTTTCTGCTTACAGACTTCAGGCCGATTGTCCTGGGCAAGTACCACGCTGTCGTTCGAAATTCTCGGCACATGCTGAAGCTACAGACGTCCCTTAACCGGCGCGGCTTTCCATGTCCAAGGTGCGCTCGTACGTTTCACACGTCCGGCGGCATGAGTCGTCACTACAGACTCGAGTGCGTCGATCTTCCGCGTTTCAAGTGTCCTCACTGCGATATGCGCAGCAAGTATACTCAAGCCGTGTACAGGCATATTCGGGCCAAACACCGTAATATGGAGCTGAGGTTCGTCAAGTTGTATTGAACGCCTTTAGCAGCGGGATTTGCGTTCTTCCGCGTGACGAGCTTTCAACGGCGACCCAACCCGACAAAGGTTCGCTGCGATTTCTGCATCGAATCGTCTTTTACCCGACGCTGTTTATCCTTCGAGACGGTGATCTTTCGGGCAAGGAACGCTTCGTTATTTCTCGTGTACATCTCACGACGTGGATTCTGGTCAACCGTGGGGCAAGTGACTCGGAAAATACTTCTATTAAGGAATGAAAATTGGCCCATCTCTGGCACGCGATCCAACAGACGAGGAGTCATTTACCTTTCGACTGGCAAAAATCCGCGCCACAGGGTGTACACGGGTATTACTTATTTCCTAGGAAGTAAAAGGAGATTGCAAAGTGTTTGCAATAAATTCCACGCTAAGTACCAATGATCCGATGCGTTTGTAAATTGCTATACGAATCGTTTTCAGCCTTTTCTTAAAGCGTTATAACGGAGAAGGTTGAAACTTGTACCGATCGATTAACGAGTTTTCCCGACGTATACCAAGACCGTATTTACGTTCCATGATTTACGGTCGTAGAAGCAAGCTTTAAACGACCGAACGAGCGCGAGCATAGCCTAACGAGAGTCGATCTCTCGACCGTAGCGAATGTAAAACGATTTAGGGAACGAGAGGAACGACGTAACGAAAGCATGGTGAATTGTACGACTTCATCGACCTCCGAACAATAATAAGTTAGAAGCATACGTTAAAATCTATTTTAATCGCCAGAGTCTACGTAGATTACGAGGACGTGACTGAGATTACAAGAACAACTTATAAGGGGTTTATACTCACGAATATTGTTAGTATAGTTATTAATATCCGATGTCGTCGTTGTCGCGCGCACGAAGTCTCGACTGCGAGAATTTGATCTTTCCGACGCGTAAACGAGGCACCATCTCAATGAAACGTTCGAGATTGGAGAAACACGACATGTTTGCGATACGAAGACGCGCACAAGAATTTTCTGTATCCATCGTCATAGTATCCTGCGACTGATATACTTGTATTACCAATTCGCTGCGCGCCATGCATGTAAACGCGTACGCGTCGATGTCTGATTGGCCTTAAATCGCACCACAGTCGAGCTACGCGTGAATTTTCTGCTGGAAAGTCAATTTTCCGCGACACGCCAAAGGTTTGCGTCAACCAACCAATGTATTAATCGTGTACGATACAATTCACACTGATAAAAGGAAAGAAAAAAAAAAAAAGACACAGATACAAAGGCAACGACTATCGTTTTATTGCAATTTTTAATACATTTTTTTTTCATCTCTTTAAACAAATAAATTTTTGTTTGTTCCGTTAGGTGCGATCGACGATGCGACAAGTTCGTTGGGCAATTGCCATAACTTGGAATCGAAAACTCCTTTTGAAAAGGACCTTAAACTATTTCAGCAACTTCTACGAACTTCTCGCGTTTTACTTGTTTTGTGGTGGGTAGGAGTAGGGTTCGTTTCGTTTCTTTTTTGTCGTCCCGTACCTGGATCCAAGATTTTTCGTTCTCGTACTTTAAGCGCCGAAGACACGGACGGACGACGTTTTTACTGATCAAGCATTTTCAATTTTTCAGAAGGAGGTGGCGACGGATTCAGGGGTAAGATCTTCTCCTGCCCACGTTGTCTCAAGCATTATAAATCGAAGCGGTACATGCGGATACATTACAAGCTAACATGCGGCGTCAATGTGCCACGTTATTGTTGCGCTTACTGCGGATACGTGAGCAAATACGCGTCGAGCGTCTACAAGCACGCTCGAAGCGCTCATAAAAAGCTGCCGCAGCTTACACCTCGAAGACTCTACTGAATACGCCCGGTCGACGCGAATCCATCCTCGATGATCGTGTAGTTTACCAATTGCACGCGCTGCTTTCGCTTTCCGAGGTGTACACTGTTCCCTTTCCTTTTTGTTTATATTTTATATCTACACGATCGCCGACACGAAGTACCGAACTCGTAATAAAAATTGTTATTTATCATTTTCGATCTTCCTCAGCGCTTTTGCTTGCCCATGTGCACCGTGTCCTTGATAACTCGTTTTCAGCGACTTCTTCTGAGAAACGGAGTTAAAATCGTACGCAAAGATATCTCGAGAATAAATCAACTTGCGGAGTACCACATTAGAACGAAATTTATTTCGCGCGTTAGAAAAACTGATACAATTTCTAACGTGTAAAGTAATTCTTTTATTCGCATTTTTTACTCCGTAATTTCACGAATGTATATAATTTTAGTTGGAAACGAGCGTTCCGCAGATCCGGTTACCTCAGTTGCGAATTTTCGCGTTGAACGGATATCGACGATACGTCTATTTGTTTCCGTTATTTTTTCCAATCCGTGCTTCCTCGTTAGAGGTCGACTTTTCTCGTTAGGAGTACTTTCGATCCTTTTTCGAACGTGGATGCGAAGGCCACTATTACTGGCATCGTTCGACGGACGTTATCGCTCGAACCGTGCGCGGAACATTTGAATTCTGATATTGAATCCGTGCTTCCAGGTAGTCTGGCGGGAAACGAAGACGGTTGGTTCCACTGTCCTCGTTGCACTCACAGTTTCCTGTCGTTCGACTGCATGTTACGTCACTACGGGAACCATTGCAATCCCTACGAGACTCGTTTCCGGTGTACATACTGCGATTACGGCTCTAAGTACAGCTCGAATGTCTACAAACACGTGCGAAGGGTCCACAAACAGATGCCCTTCTTTAAACCCGACCGAATATATTTGCGTTAATCCGCCAAGGAGGAGTCGGCGGCATCGCGGGCACTAGAAGGAAGAAACTGAGAAGAAACTCGCCGAGGACATTTTCATGACGATTTTAACGTTCAGAAGAAACTGCCACGTTACCCCTTGTATTCATTTTTCACGCATTTTCCGCGTATCTTTGCCAAAGACAGAGATAGAGCGTTGTTTCTATGTATGACCCACTCGAATACTGTGCACCTTCGTTCTGGTCGACCAGTTGGTTCGACGAAAGCGAGCACATTTAAATGTTGTGTACGCTGCGACAAGTTTTGTATTAGAACGTCTCTTGCAAAGGAACAATAAAATTAGTTGAGTTTATTTTATTACTCGAAGCGTGTCAGTCATTTTGCAATAAATCGTGCGCGTCCGTAAGAGGACACGCTCTCCCGAAACCGATACAAGTCGCCATATCGCGATCGATCCTTTCCCTACAACGGACGACTATAGTTTCCCTCCACGCGTATCACGTTTATTTGAACCGTTGCAGTGAAAGGGTCGATGGCATCGATGTTCGTCTCACTGCTCGAAAGTGTTGTACCGTTTTGGGGTTGAAACCACGTCCTCCTTCAAACCCGATCCCGATTGTGTGAAGTGGTTCGAGGTGTTTACGTCCCGTCGCTCGTAATCGTGAACATCTTTACTGACTCGCGTCGCGATCTGCTTCTTCTGTTGCAGCGTTCGACGACAAGTGGGCCGCGTGTCAAAACGAACGACCTCCGGCCGAGAGGTATTTTTGTCCAAGGTGCTGCAGTTCCTTCAGCAAAAAGTCGAACATGATGACCCATTTCAGGTACGAGTGCGGCAAGGAGCCGCGGTTTCAGTGTCCTTACTGCGGTAAACGGGACAGGAAGTCTTCGAATACCTACAGGCATATCAGGACGAACCATAAGGGTAGCAGAATACAAGCGTTCAGACTCTACTGATTATCGAGATCGATACTTCAGTTGGCGCGGAGCCACCGGGAAATCCCAAAGGATGGAACAAGCTAAAAGTGTGAGCAGCTGTGTGTGCGTGTACCAGATAACGAAAATAGATGTCTTCCTTCGCCTGTCAGGACAGTTACTCTCATTGCATACCCTTTCTCTCGGTCATTTCCTTCTACTCTCGTATCCTTCGTTACAGAGGACAACGCCGAAATGGTCTACGGGCCGAGCGGAAGGTTTTTTTTCACCCCTAGGCCACCCCTCGTTGCTCCGTTTTCTTTCTCTCGTTTCCACCCCCGTGGCTGAAATTGCCGAATCGCGAGATCGTTGCCTACCACGCGATCCACTAACCGTGACCTATGTTTTCCTGTTCGTAGGTCGAGCTCTGCCACCCTACGACACCGGGATCCTGGACATCCTCAGGATGAATACTACGGACCACGGGGCGAGTCGTTACGACGCGAAGCACGAAGACGGCCCGTTCTGGCACTCGAGCAACAGGATGGCCTATCACTGTCCCAGGTGTAACGCGGGCTACACTTACAAGAAGACCCTGAAGACCCACATGAAGTACGACTGCGGCAAGGAGCCAAGATTCAAGTGTCCTTATTGCAACAAAAGGGACAAGTGCTCGTCGAACATTTACAAACACGTCAGGATGCGACACGACGGGATGCCTGTGATCGTCCATAGAAATTAGGGTCGTGTCGGTCCTCCGCTTCCATCTTTGGGTTTCTATGTCTTCTGCTTCGCATTTCTTCGGTTTTCATACGTACGCCGGTAAAGCTAGCAGCTAGTGCACGTTCGGACGCGAGGGACGTTGCAGATTTTTTGACAACTTTTCTTTTCATGCTTCCGAGAGGAAGAGAGACGCGTGTCGAGTTTTATTGGCACTCGCCGCGTTAACCCTTCGAGTGCTATGAACGCGCGTCCGCGCCCGATGCACGTAGGCGTAGTCCTAAAAGTCCTGTCACATTTGTATTTATTCTGTACATTTCTTAAAAAATTAGCATAGCTATTTCTGAAAATAGATATGATAGTTTGGAGTTACGGCGCGTGTCTACAAATCAGAGGTAGGCGAAATTGTTATTCAAACAATGTACGACGAGTGAAACGTGCGTATAGCTCTGTTTTTATTTCTCGAACGTGAAATATAATTTTATTTCATGAATAACGGATAAAAGGTTGCGTAAAAATCTTTTATGCGTGACAGGGCTTTAAACGCGAGTGCCATCGACGCGGACTACGGACTGGCGCGTGAGATTTGGTATATCCTTTAATATTTCGTTAGTAAATTAGCAACCTAGTTACGCATTTTATAGTTACTACTGCGAGCCACGCGTCGTCCAATGAAAACGTTTAATTTTACAGTGTTCCGCACTCGAAGGGTTGAAACGCTATTCAGGGAATAATTGTACATTTTATTATTCTTTACAGCTGCCTGTGACGAGTATTTTTGAATTGCGGGATTCAATACACGGGCGCTGTATTATCGCAGTGTTCTTCGTACGAACAAAATTTATTCGACTGAACGCATTTTGAGCCGGTACCTGCGAAGACGTACGACAAACGGGGAACTTGTCGACGCGTCTCGAAATTGTATAGTCAACTTTCCTCCCTATGGTACTACCATATCTATCAAATGTTAGAGAATAAGAAATCCTATAAATAGAGTATTTTAGGTGGTACACCTGCCCAGATGCGTATCGCGTATGCCTATTTCGGTATTTCCACGAGTCATCAGTTCCTACGGCAGGAAGAGTGTGCAGTCATTGGACCACGCTGGACAAAATTAACGTGTTAAGCGATGCCGAGAAACTACCGAGTACAAGCAATAAAGTGACGTTCGTTGCGAACGCTTACCTCGATAGAATTGCTCGACGAATATTAGGTAGCAATATGCTCGCCAGTAAAAAGATATTGCTATCGTGTAGCCCTCGAGCATTTATCGATATTAAGACAGGGTTCTAGCGGAGGCTCGAGACTGTTAACGTCCATAAATGTTCGAAAGCTTACGCGATACGAATAAACGAAACAACTCGAGAAGCACCCGGTGCGCGAAGAGATAATTGGAGTCGATGCGTTGGTAGAAGCAGCTTTCGCGACATCTTTCTTTTGTATTACGAACCGATGCCATAACGATTATACTTCTTAAGCCGTGTATGCGAATTACGGTCGACGGAGGCGACGAGCAGGTCGATCACTATGCCAAATTGTACGAGTTAAGCTAGAAAAAGGACGCATATTGAATAAAAAAAAAAAAGAAAAAAAAAACGAAGCAACGGAAAACGTGAAGCTGTCGGTTTTCACGCAACATTTTCTGTTTTTCTTGATCGTTTCACTCTTCCATGCAGTGCTCTCTCTAGTCACACATCACAAACCCGTTCCAGCGACGTAGCACGTAGCCACACATATCGATTTTAGATCCCGTTACGAAGGACGTCCGATACGTCGCGTAGTTTCGGCGAACGGCACCTTTACGGCCGGCGCAGGACTAACGTCCTGATTGTTTTCAGATGTACGGAGAATGGTGTGGCCGAACTTGAGGACACAGTTCGCCGTCTCGAGTTTCATCTGTCCCAAGTGCAACGCAGGATTCCGAAGGATGTGGGACCTGATTAGGCACAAGTGTGGCCAGATACCTAGATACGCGTGTCCCTATTGCCATAAGAAGGACAACTCATCCTCGAACGTTTACAGGCACATTAGGCGGTGGCATCCTAAGCTGCCAGTCGGCGTGAACAAAATGTTCTGAGCCTTCTCTTGTCTGTCTGGAGCGAACAGTATTATATATCTTACCAAACTAGATGCGATTGGATGTTCGAACAAGCTATCGTCTCTGTGTATGGTTCTGTAGGATTTTCACTTTCCAGAACGACGAGAAAGTTACGTTGCGTAAAATTAGATAGAAGCACGCGGCGAACGGGGACGCCTGGCATTTGCAGAGCGAATACGACTGCGAGGCATTCTGTAAAGAATAAACGATAAAACTGTGGCGTTGCTCAGCTTCCGATTCTGTGGTACAGTTATTTCACACCCTCGTACCCAAGATCAACGTGTCTGTGACTTCTCTTTTATCGTGTTTCATTTTCGGTGCCTACTTTGCAGTAGGTATACTCGCGTTTACATAGATCGTCCTCACAAAACTAGCACGATTCGATTACAGAGCAGAGATGGCCAACGATTACTTTGGGATTACTCTCGAGTAATCTTTCCAAACTATACGTGATCACAGGTTACATTACGCTTGACACTGGTACAGAACGACATCAACGATCTCGTAACGCGCGTTGACCCAACGGTGATTCGAGCATTTCGTAACTACATGTCACCTTTTATTTTAATTTTCAGTGTGGGACATCTCGTCTTTTTCGAAGATCAACTCGAACGAGTGCGAGCAGTGCGGCGAAATGTTTGCTAAGCTCGGAGACTTGATCTACCACACGCAGAACACGTGCTGTTATCAGAAACACAGGATTCTTCCCCCGAACCCCGATGGTTATAACGCCCCCAGCAGCTTGGACTGCGTTCAGTGCGGAAAGACGTTCAAAAGGCTTAAAGATGTCAATTATCACATTCGCCATTTGTGCGGGATCCGTGGGATACAGTGCCCGTATTGCAAAAAGTGTTACACGTACACCTCCAACGTCAAGTATCACATAAACCGTTATCACAAAGGGAAGAAGGTTTACTACAATAAAATCTACACTTCTAACGCTCGCGCTGTCGATCGTGGGTCTTTCTAGACCCAGATGTCGGTCTTTCCATTCGTCTTGTCCCCTACCGATTCCTTTGCCAGTCTATAACGATGTTATTCTAGATACTCGAATTAAAGAATACATAAAGTATATGTATTCTTTAGTTTTTATGGGCGATCGTGCAAAATGTGTTTACTCCTTTTACTCGTGTTATAGAAATTTAAGTTAAGTCACGTTAACGCGTATAATTCGTTGAAAGGCGCGGTTAGCAAACCGTTAAGTTTCGAGTATAATTATTGATAGCTTTCCCAATAAAGTCCAAACGCTAATCTATTCGTACTAGCTTCGATTACATGTAAATATACGTAAATTATATGTATAGCGATGAAATAATATTTACGATTCGTGAAGAATTTTTGTTGTTTCTTTTTTTTGTTACGTAGATATTAAAAATATAAAGAGATGTACGATAATCGTATGCTTTAAATGTATGGGTCTACAAAGATACGTCGAGGGCCATGCGAGTGTTAGACGTGATCGATTACTATTAAGGTGCTTCTGAAATGTTTCCAGACTGTTGATGATTATTGGAAGTAACCTTTCACCGTTCTATCGGAATAGCTAAACCATATATGTATCGATTTAATGGACTTCCGGTTACATCGATCGCTGATCGCGAATGTACTCGCTGAAAGACATTTCTCTCGCCAATTGTAAACACCTATGAAAGATTAAACGAATTTTGCTGAACCTTCGGTTCCCTTGTTTCGATTACGCCCCCTGCGTCCACAGTAATTCAGCGTGTTATGTGTGATCCGTTGACTCGTATATCGCTCTCACTATCTTTCCCCCTTCTCTGTTGGAACGTTTCCTCTCGCTTCTAAGATACTCTTGTGTTTCTCGAGAAACGTTTCCCCGTTGCACGGTTTAACGCATGGTCGTTGCACCGACGTCTATTAACTATCCTGTGTGTTGATTTTTTCCAGATGACTATCGGAGATACAAGCGCAAGTGGAACGAACAGGACTTTCTTAACTACCCGAGGGACATGAAAAGCCTCACAAACAGTTACAGATATCACCCGAACGAGCGTAAAAGGTTCGAGTGTCTCGACTGTGGATGTCGTTTCACCCAGAAGACCACCATAACCAGGCACTTGCGTTACTTTTGCGGTCAGGGGCATCGTTATCAGTGCCCTTACTGCGAAATGAGAGCCTCGTGCTCGTCCAATATTTACAGACACGTGAGGTCGCGCCACGCCGGGCATAAGGCGCACGCCATCAAGCTCTTCGACCAGGTTAATTCCCGTAGAATCGCGTGAAAAAAAAACCACCCTCTCCCGTGTGTGTGTGCAGAACAAAAGAGGTTCGAACGAACAACCGAACCACCGACGAGTCGAAATCGCTCTAGATATCGACGACGAAACAAACCGACGACTAGTGTAAAGTAAAACCGTGTAAGATCCTTTCTTTCTTTTCACATGTTCTGCAATATAAAAAGAATATATCTATAAACATGCGTCTTTCTGTACCAGTCTCTTATCGCGACGTTCACCCAATTCCAGCTTTGCTTGATCGACGCCTGCTCAACGAGGATCGTTCACCGTTCGAAACGGATTCTCGTTGAGCGTTCGTTCCCGTCGGATGCGAAGCCAACGATAGAACAAATTTCTTTGTTTTGCGCGTCAAGGGTGTCTTTTCTTTTTGTCTTGTTTGTTTTCTATGTCACGAAGACGCGGAGCGATGCACGTGCACACGCTTCCGGACACGGATTAAAGAGCTTCGAAAATCGTGCTCGTACCCCCGGGATGTTTCCTGCTAACTGGTTCCTTCGATCTTTCAGGTTATTGCCAGACCGTTCCCAGGCAGCGACGGAAAGTGTACTCCGTGAACAAGAGTCACTATTGCCCACGCTGCAACCGCGGCTTCACGCTAAAGAAAAACATGACACGGCATCTGCGCCACGAGTGCGGCATGGCTCCGAAATACCAGTGCCCTTACTGCGAGAAGCCCTCCAAGTTTACCCAGAATATTTACGCCCACATCAGGAAGTACCATCCTGGCCAAGTTTTGTGCTTCAAACGACTCTATTGAACTCTCCGCCCGATCTCCAAGTACCTTTTCGATCCACCTTTGCCGACGCGAGAAATATCGACTGTCTTTGATCCATGTGTGAGAAAAATTAATAAAGTTCTCTGAATCCCAATTATTCCGAGAGTGTTAATTTTCCGAGCGTCGAGCGAGAGGAACCAAACAGGATCTCGTCTGCTCACCCGTTGAAATCATCGGTGACGTTGTTCTTACCCTACTAACAACGTCGGTTGTCTTTATTTCAGATGCTGGTCAAAGGTCGTCGTCCTTCTCGATCGTCTCCGCATGGGTCACGACGAGAGGAAACGTTTGCCACTGTTCGGAGCTAACTTCGCAACGTAAACACGCATCGTCTTTCGTCGACGAGTGTACGCACAGTGACACGACTTCGTCTCATCGCAGAGGTTGAGTGATACTTGGCGTTATCGCGAAGAAGGAAAGGTAACGCGAATCGATCCACTCGTTCTTTCGATGGAACGAATTCGTGTTACCTGACGTACGGAATCCTTCGTTTTTTGTATCTGTGAGAATGAATAAAGATCAAAGGTAGTTGAATGTTACTCGTTACGCATACGTCTCTTAGAATGGGCCTGGGTTAGGAGGACTTACGTACGCGACACATTGCGTCGAACCGATCTAATTTGCTTTTAAATGTTTTGCCAGTTGTCGAGCTTGTTCGCGTTGGTATCTTTCGGGTCAGATTCGGTAATTACGTCGTCCGAATCGAAAGATAGCACGATACGGCCTGTTTTTCAAACGCCATTTAACAATAGACTCGTCGCTGACTTTGGTTGCTTCCCCATCCAAACACGGCGAGTAACTCTTGTCTCGCGGCACGAGAGAAAGAGAAATCCATATGAAAATTACCGCTGTTATATGTGTCGTCGAGCCTCGTACTTGTTCGTGTGAAATTTCACTTACCTAGAAAACTACCGTGTAATTTCCAGTGATCTTCAACCTGACTACTTTGCCCTACGTGGCGACCATGGCCCCGGAACGAAGATGGAGGCGCTGCAACACCAGCGGCCTGTTTCCGCCGGCGAACACCACGTCCAGAGGTAACTTCGATTGCCCCAAGTGTCAGAAGACGTACAAATGGTATCGAGGGCTTCACAGGCATTTGAAATACGAGTGCGGTAAGGCGCCGCGTTTCAAGTGCCCGCACTGCATGTACACCGGAAAACACAGGTCGCACGTCTACTCGCACATCAAGAGCAATCACAGCAATCGTCCTGTTTACGCTCTGGACACCCAACAGCCCTGAATTAGTCGTTCTGGCTACAGCTAGTCCCCGACTTACGTGAGCCCTCCGCTCTCACGTAACTTCGGATTTACGTCAATTTCTTTTCTGGTGCAATCGTTTACGTTTTAAGGTACCTTCGAGTTCGCCCGAGTGCAAAGACGTTTACGCGGTTTAGGGACATTTTCACGAGTATGTACACTCGGGCCCGAGCTTAAGTAGCTTTTATAAACTCTACACGGTGTACGAAATAAGACTACGGTGTGATTCGACGAAGTACGCTTTCATTTCTTACGCGCTACTCTGGCTACCTCGCCACTGTCCGCGAATGAGATATTGTTTCTTTAACGATATGTATACACGTCAGGGGCATAGTTGCAATAATTTACTAGTCACGTAAAGATCTTACAAGGGAGGTGTTCGGGAAATTGTCCGTCGCGGATGTCGGGGACGGTATGTTCTCGCGAATTTTTTCACGACGAGCACGCGCCGCTCGAACGGGTCAAAGAAGTTAGTATCGAAAGCACGCTTCGAAATGTACCACGGATAAAGCGAAGTATACGCGATCGAAATCGAGACTGTCATCCAGCTGTCCTGTAACATTGTTTTCGTTTCTCTATCTGGATATTGTACATTTTTATTCGTAGCTACTGTATAGAAAATAAACTTCCTCTGCGACAGAAAGGACTTAGTTCTTCCACCTTCGATGTTAGTTGTTTCTTAGCAGGTGGCTCGCAAATAAAGTCTCGAGCCGTGCCCATCGAAAACCTTCCTTCCACATCATTCTTTCCACCCTAACGTTTTTCCTTTTTCCATTTAACTATAAGAAATCTTTACTTTGTTCACTGATATCATTGGCATCAAAAGTGGCAAAAGTAATTTCCCCAAATATAATGTTCACCGTTACACGCTTTAACCTCCTGGTCCTCTTCAGGAATAAATTTAATAAACGTTCTTCTTCTTAACACGAAACTCTTGATAAAGACCTCGGTTTCGTTCTCTATCCCTGTACTGTACTGTAATTAAACATCCCAGCTGTGCGACTTAGAATTAACCACACTTGAGAGTTTATCCCGCGTCGCTTTTATGCCGTTGTTAACCTTGCGTGTTCCTCGCGATCCAGACCACACGCGCTCGTCTTATCCTCCTAGCTCTTTGCACTCCATCGATCAACGGCGGACACGTTCGACACGCATTTTATTCATGGTAGTACGAACCAAACGAACGAAGAAAGTTTTGCCATTTCAGAAAGGTCACCGAAAAAGTGCCTCGAAATTGCTAGACGATTATGTTAGACAAACTTTCGGAGTGCAAAGGGTTAGAACTTCAAGGACCACGAATTTCCTCGTTGAATCGAGAATCCGTCGACTAACTGCTCCGAAATCTTTCTCTTTTTCAGATTGGCCGACGAACAGCGGTGGCACCTGCCAAAGCTCGAAGCGAGCCTACGATTACAATAATCGTAACCGTCATCCATGTCCGATGTGCTTCCGCAGCTACAAGCACCGTAGCCACATGATACGGCATTACAAGTACGAGTGTGGTAAGGAGCCTCGTTTCAAGTGTCCGCACTGCATGTACATCGGCAAACACAGGTCGCACGTCTATACGCACATCAGGAGCAATCACAGCAATCAGCCAGTTTACGCTCTCGACACCCTGCAGTTCTAAGTCGTTCCTTCGGCTCGCGCAGCGTCGAATGTGAGATTTACAGACCCCTCGGACTGTGCGAGGCCCCGAGGAATATTCCCGACAGGAAACAGAGAGTCGAGGATGAGAAAAATGAGTATCATTTTTTTCACAGAATGGTATAAAAATGTGTAAACGTAGGAATCCAACGTTGAACTTCACTTGGAGTACGTATGGAAGTAATTCGCAACATCAGAGGACCCCAGTCCGTACCTTCATTCGATCCTGAATCCGTTTCCGAAGTATTGAAACGCATCGAAAACAGCCTTCGTGTATACCAGCCTCGACGAAGTTCCAGCAAGTTTCTTCGAAGCTGGTGTGCTACGAATAAAAACAGAGTACTACAGTACTGTCTCTCTGCAGCAACTCGAGAGGCGGGTAGGTGAAATTTAAGCGGTATCTTTAGCTCTCTTGGTTCTGTGTATATCGAGACAAAGATGAGAAACACCGACGGGAACGTGTTTCAAGCGGGGTCTTACTGTATACTTAAACTTCGCCTCGTTTGTTTTCACCAGACTTCATTTTTTTTTCCCGTCATCACGGAGAAAAACTTAGCTTAGAGGAAACACTATCTTCTCTTGCGATCCCTTGAACGACTAATACGTACAACTGAAAATACGAAGTATACATACATATATATTCCTTAACCTACATAAATACTCTTTATGTGCAATCGCATAGCAATCTAGACGTTCTAATTCTAGCGACGTTCGTGCGTCTGTAGCTGTACGGAGTACCAATTTGACCCAACGGGTCTCGTGCGTTGAAAGAACAACAGCGATGGTCCAGGAGACGACGTACACGATAATTGTCACTGTAGAAACTTCCATTTACGCGAATACAACAGTTCTATAATGATAAAGTAGACTCACTAGTAGCTGCGACAGTTCGAGAGACAGTACTGTACATGCGACCGAAACCTCGATACTTTTCGCTAACGAATAATTTTCGTAACGACACTACCGTCCCTCTCCCCGCACAATTTTCGTTGTAACCTTGTTCTTTTCTCTCGATACTGTACATTTTTATTCGTAGCGACTGTATAGAAAATAAACATCCTTAGCGTTAGAAACGGCTCAGTCTTTCCACCTTTTTATTGCGAATCCATATTTGTAATAAATAACAGCAGATCGTTCGCGATCGTTAGCATTTTTTCCCAGAGTTTTGTTCGTCTACTTCGTCTTTGTGCGTCCTCCAGACCTCGTTTCCTCGTTTCTCACCTTGGACTGTACGATAGTTTATCGTTGAATCCTCGTGACGTAACTAACCACGCTTGAACGCTTCCTTATTCCAAGGATCAGGACATCCTGTTAGGACTTCAAGGCCAATCGAAGGACCACGAAGCTCTCGCTCGTCAGAATCTCCCGACTAACTGTCTCGAAATCTTCTTCTTTTTCAGGTTACAAGGGCCACTTCCGTCATCGGTGTCCGAAGTGTAATCGCAGCTACAAGCATCGTAGCAACATGACGCGTCATTTCAAGTACGCTTGCGGAACGCCTCAGAGGTTCGAGTGTCCTTACTGCAAGCACCTTTTGCGTCAGCGCACGCACGTGTGGACGCATATACGCAACCTACATCCCGATTGCGAGCTCTACTGCCTGGACACCGTGACGAACGCGAGGATCAATCATCCGGACAATATGATCTCGCTGAAATCCGTCCAATTTTCCTTCTCGTCTTAAGACTCGTTAACTTGTAAACGTTAAACAGACAATCTTACGTGTTTTTCGAGAGTCCAATGTATCGAAAATAAAGTGTCGATTATTTCGAGTCTGCGCAGGTTCAGTGTTTGGTACGCGGTGGCGTCCGACCATATGTGAAAAATCGAGGCTAGAGATTCGCATATATTTGGGGTCGGCGACGAATTCGTTCCAGGATTGCGTCTTGTATGACATATGTTCGGTCACCGATCATCGAAGCGGTGCTTCGATCCGTTTACGCAACGCGTCCGTCGAAAGCTCCATCGAATCCAGGAAGAACACTGAGTTTTAGGTATCCGACGAGAAATTGTCGTGGGTTACCATTAACCTTCTATTTCTCTTTGTGTTTGTTTCAGAGTGCGGTAAAGGGGTGACGAGAGTCGAGCGGTTTCACGGCCGTTCGGGAAGAGAGTTTATGATCATCAGGCGTAACGGGATGTACGAGTGTCCCAGTTGTCACAATCCGTACAAATGGAAGAAATCGATGCTGTCGCACCTGAGGAATCAGTGCAAGCAACCGCCGCGATTCGAGTGTCCCCACTGCGCGATGAAGAATTACCAGAAGGCGCACATGATCCGACATCTGCGCGTCCATCATCCGCAGCTCGCGCAAATGTTCTGGGACCGAAAGCTCAACAATTTCTTTCGTCTCTAACTCCCCGCTTGGCCCTCGTTAATTTAACTGTTGCTCGCAATAAAGCTCGCCGATGAACTCCAGTCGAATGAAGTTTGTCTTTCCCGTGTTCTATCTTTCGTCGTACCACACATAAACGGACAGTTACTGTACACTTGCTTTAATTATTCCTTCGATATTTTTCAGCTCGACAACCATCGGTACTACTTCTAAAGGATGCATGGATGAGTAAACACTCGTTTTATTTTATTTTCGAGCAGTTTCAATGTAAGGGCTAGCTACTCTTGGGAACGAGCTTAGACACACCGAGCAGGAAAGTAAGGTTTATTTTGCGTTCATCGTTTTGCAGTAGACCACGAATTTTTATCATTTCTTTGTTCGACACAGAAACGATTTGTCGTGAATGCCTAACTTATACTTGCGCGTTTGAGCTTGGAGCGATCGAGGAAACGGTAGCAAACGCGCGTTCCGCCGAGTGCAGCATGTTTACGGTTCTTCGGCAAAGTCCGAGAATGCGCTTGGCTGTTAGGTCTGGGCTGATTCAAGAGCGTTGCATTCGGTGGAATCCGTTTGTTCGATGAGCTCGCAGCCATCGTTGATCGATCTCGCTCCTAGCGACCGAGAGTCATGCTGTTCAGCATCTACATCTCCGTGTTTCAGGATACCACATCCTGCCGCTTCCGTTCGGACAGAGCATGAGCTACAAGAGCCGATCGGGATCGATCGGAAAACGTAGCTTGGAAGTGCGACAAAACGTGAAACGGAGAGGCCTGAAGATGAGTCCCAGCGACAAGAAGAAACCGTTCCAGTGTCAGAAGTGCGGCCGCGGGTTCACCCTAAAGAGAAACAAGGATCGTCACGTGAACTACGAGTGCGGTCACGAGCCGAGGTTCCAGTGTCCTTACTGCGGTCTCCGTAGCAAGCAAACGTCGCCTGTGTACGCCCACATCAGGAAGAAGCATCCGGAAGAGGAGGTGTTTATCTTCGACATGAAGCTCTGAACTCCGAAGATCACGGAGAACCGTTAACGCGCGTCCCTTCGGGTAGAGAATGTCTCGGATAAATAAACTTAGATGTTGCTTTACGTCTTCGCTCGCTTTCAGCGGAGGTGTGTACCCCTCCGACGCACGCGCTCATCCTGAAGATCTATCGTCGACCTACGTGGAGACTCCAAGACTTTACTCTTAGGATACTATATCGATGCTTGAGAATCTTTAACGAACGAGTCGCCACATCCTTGTAAAGTTGCAAGTAAACAGGAATTTTTGGATAAGACACTTAACCAACAAAAAGAAAAAGAACAAAAAAAAAAAGGAACTGTCCGTTGTAGTTTACTCTTTCTTCTATCACTTACACGTAAATCCTAGCTAACGCGCGCACACGTAACCGTACAAGTCAGGCATGTCCACGGGGAACTACCCTACCATGCCATAGCGAAACGAAGGTGTTGAACGGATCGTGGATTTCGCGTCTGTTTGGCAGCGTTGGGCAAAGAATCGACCAACGTCGTTTACGGTTGCCGACTAGTCAGATAATTATGGACGAGTGTCCGAAGTAGTCAGCCCAACTCTGCTGTCCGGGCATTTCACTTATAAAGTAGAAGACTATATGCTAACTTCCACTGATATATATTAAGCTGATGTTGTGATATACGTATACCAAGACAGAGTAGAGGAAAGTGTCCGAGCTCCGGAGCTCGGTATGGACATGCCTGGTGCGAGTAATCGATTCTTCTGCGTTCTTAAGTAATCGTACGGTCAACCAGGACACGCCATGGATCTCATCACGCGAAGACTGCTGCCGCAACGATTTTGTTTTTTTCATAGATTTATTTATCATTGCCGTAGACTAAGAGGTTGATCCTTGCTGTAGACACTAGTATAACAAAGCGCGTTAAAGTCGTTTTCGAGTCGCGCTATGATTAATCGTGGAACGATTGAAATCGGTTCGACGTTATCGTCTCGAAGATCATCCGCAATTTATCAAGGTATCTTTCTTTTTCCGTTAAAGCTCGTGAGTCCGAAGCATGCGATCCGATCCAATCGATGAACGTTCCCGACAGGAGTATCCCCGATTTCTCGATCCCTCCTCCGATATCTCTCTGATCACTCTCACAATTTCTCTATCTCTGTATCTCCCATCGACGACGCTTCCACCGATTAACAGACCGATTTTGAAGTTTCAGGTTTCTATGCTGCGGCGCCACAGTTGGATCTAAACTTCGTTTTACAATCTTGCAAGGCGTTCGAGAGCGATGCCAACAACAGGGAGGCTGGCAGCGAGGGGGATTCCGGTGGAGCGTCCATACCGAGGTCCCTGCCGAATTACTATTCGCAGGACAGAGTGAGGAACGCCTACGCCAAGGGTTCGTTCGCCGATTGCTTCAGGAAGCCGTTCGGTTGTCCCAAGTGCGGACGATGTTTCACCGTCAAGGGCAACATGACCAGGCACCTAAAATACGAGTGCGGCCAAGCGCCGAGATTCCAGTGTCCTTATTGCGAGTTCCGTAGCAAGCAAACGTCCAACGTGATGTCTCACATCAGAACCAGGCATACCGGCCAGAGAGTGTACGTGGTGCATCTCAAGTACGAGAATTGAACTTGCAGCGCGCACCGGACCCCCGTGGCCCGGAAGCTTTCGCTTAAGAACGTTACCAGAGTCGAGATTTATCTCCGCATTATCTTTAATCATTCCTAATGAACGATGATGGTGGCGTACGAAGGGTGTTTAACAAAAGTATTCACATTTTCTTAAACACCCAGCAAAAGTCGGGAACGATATTTAAGACAATCGATCGCTCACCGCGATACGGTTATCCGCCTTCGAGAGACTAGATCTCTGTCCCTTCCAAGATCTCTGTCGTCGTCCTCTCTCGGACTTCCGGAATCTGCTCGTGTGGCTAAACGGAAATGGAACTGTGCCATCGAGAGTAACACATTGCGGTCGGTTACTGTTTTTGATAAGAAAACTCCGAGGACCAATATTCGTTAATTTTTAAGCAAACCCTGTCAACTCCACCTTTCGACTCCAGTTCCGAGTCATTCGCAGAACCCACGAATGAACTTGAATTCAAGGGTTAACCAACACTCGCAAAGAACTACTATTATTTTTTTTCCTAGCAAAAGTCCATAAAAGAGTACAAAAGAAATTTTAGTCGAAAGTACGTGGAAGAATTCCACGTATAAGTTCCTTCCTTTCCCGAATTTCCCGAGAAGGTAAACGGGGAATGCTCAAACATTTTTCTGATTTGCGAGAAAATATGTAGTAGCGTTAGATCAGCTTAATACTAGTCTCGAAATAAATTGTCAAGATCGGAGGAAGGAATCGCAAAGTGTTAACCGCGATGCTGATCGCACGGTGAAACGTAAGCCACGCGAGATTACGGACCCGACTCGATTAAGCAAATAATTTCGTGTATATACGTACTTACATACATACATGCATATACATATATACATATATATATATATATATTTTTCGTTGTTGACAAATTTTTAAAATGTTTTATAAAATTAGAAGAAGCGATCGTTTTATGAGATGTGGGACAGGGCGATGCTCAAGCGTGTCTCGAACCTCGGTTCGGGAGACCGGTTTATTAGTTGTCTGTGCGTTACAATTTTTCCGTGCTTCTAGGAAAGATCATTCCTCGTTGAATGAACAAAACAAAAGGCGTGTTTTAAGTACAAGTGCATTTAAAGTTCCAATGAATATACGTACGGTTAAGGAGCACGAACGTTTTCGATTCCTAGGCGCCCTAGATGGAGCTGTATGTTTTCTAAAAAGAAGTAACGATATCGATAAGAAATTAATTATGGTAACGACACCTTCGATGTTCGTAATAGCGAAACGAATATAAATGCACTTCCGTCTGTCGGGATCGAACGAGTCGCAGTCGCGCGCGTGACGTGCTTGGAGAGATTGTGCGAAAAGACGAGTGCATGTTTGTTGGATATGTTAAAAGTTGTTTCGAGTAAATGTTACGTCCGTTGCGTTGCGTTGTGCGTTGCATGGAAGAGGCATGGTAAAACGTTACCCTCGTACGGTACGTTTTCTATTATAAAGACTGAAGCGCTACCAACCGAAGTAAGAAGGCTAATATATACGTGGTACAGGGTGAGGCGGTCGGGACAAACGTTATGGATTGATTTTTTTTTCTCTTTTTTTTTTTTTTTTTGGTAAACGTTACGTCGATGGAGGACATCACGAAGGAACTTCTTCAGCTGTGGAGAGACTGGACGTTAGACCGGTGAACAGGCACAGATCGCTTAAACCGAAGACCAAGGTGTACGGCGGTGAAAACGGTTCCGATCGTATCGAACCGTTTCGAAAAACCAAAGGCGTCGTTGCTCTTCGTCTCGCGGCGAAGATGTTGTTTTTCTTTTACTTTTTTTTTTAAGTTTTTATTCCTGTTGCTCTAATTGCACCTAGACGTTTGACGTTAGTGGCCGACTGTTTTTGTTGCTGTGATATAATTAACGATGTAGTAGAAGATAAGTACGTTTTTAAATGTGCGCCTGATTTAGATCGGGCTAGAACCACGTTTATGAGACGGGATGCGCCGTACGAACCGAAAAAAAGTTGTTCTTTCTAATCGTTTCGTTCGGGATTACGGACCCACACGGATATAAGTGTTCGTGAAATAACATTTCGATGTCTCAACAGTTACTATTCCTCATTTTCCACGATGTTTTGTGATCGTATATCGTCGCTGTGGAATTGTAAGATACAAATAAATCGATGTTCAAATACCTCATGTACTCTACGTACGCTTGATGACGGGTGTCTTGTTTTCGAATAACTTTTCTATCTCTCATTTTTTTTTTTTTTTTTTGTGTAAATTGCTCTCCTCTGTTTTTTTTTGTGAAGCTTGTGACAAAGGGAACGGCGATCTTCCGCTCTTACAGTATTTTTGTTTTCACCGATCCCGACAAATCTACGAAAATCCCTGGCAGTTGGGCCGCGCTTCGTGTCTTACCTTGGCAACGAATCTTCCCCAAGTTTCCTAATCTCCCAAGGATTACGTTCCTCGCTTCCTCTGTGCTTGTCCGCAGGGCGGTTTCCCTCCACCCCAGCGATCCCCTTCTTCCAGGGCAACGACGTTACGGTTTAACGATGATTAACGAGGCGAACTGTGAGGTGTGATTAGAAACGGTTGTCGGTGAGAGCCTTTCTAAGGAAGCTTGTTGGCGAAATGGTTGGAACGGTGGTTCACGAGTCCGTGTTTGCTTTCAGATATGAAATGCTGGCAGGACCTGGCTACGACGAGGCTGGGAGGACTTGGTCCCGAAGCGCCCGACGACCGTTTAGTTTACGAGCCACGGAAGATGCTGCATTACTGTCCCAAATGCAATCGCGGTTTCACGTTAAAGGGCAACCGCAACAGACACTTCAAGTACGAGTGCGGCCACGAGCCCAGATTCAAGTGCCCCTATTGCGAATTGAGGAGCAAACAAACCTCGCAGATCTATTGTCACATTAGGAAGAAACATCCGCACGAGACGGTCTTCGTGATCGATCTGAAAGTCTAAATCGATTCGCGGACAATACGTGGGAACGTATTCAAGCGGTTCCCATCGATAGATCGAGACCATGCACGCTTTATCGTTAACGCATCGCACTTTATTCAGGAGTAAAGCAATAAACGTTCTTTCCACGATGCATCGCGGTTGTTCGCACAGCATCTCGACGAGTCCAGAGCTTGTTTCAGGGCATACTCTCATCCTCGGATAATTAAAACGAAATCGGGTCTTCGGTTATCCGAGGAAGGTCGTATAACTCGAATAAGGTTGTGAGCTGGACGTTCGTAGGATGTTTAGGATAACCTTGATATCGATATAAAAAGAAGAGTAGGTAGTACCTTAAAACCGCGTGGATAAATATGTTTAGGAAGTAATTGTTTCCTAGAATCGTCTAAAAAAACTATTAGTAAACATTGTAATTTTTTAACTGGACGAAGCTATTCTTCTGATTTTTTATCATTAAATGTTATTACGTGAGCGTAGATATAAATACGGCATGAAAAATAAAGGCATAAAAATAAGTAAAATGTAATAGCGTAAGAGCTAAGGTGCAGCCGGAATTTAATCTTAGATTCTGTTCTGTGCGCGTACTTGATCGCTCCTGCTTATGGGGAATCGGTTCGTTTAAGTTATTCAACAAGAATCTCGTTCTTCTCTGCAAAATAAAAGAATTGCATTGCATGAAAAAAAAAATATATAACCCAGGAGAATTATTTATTTTCTTGTTCTAATACAATTTTTAACTTTTTTATGCACAGAGAACAACTTTTCTACCGATGCTTTCGTTATGGGAACTGACAACAAAATTTTCGTTACGTTATTTTCACGTTAAGCAAGTGTACGAAATCCGTCAGTGTCATTCGAGTAAGTATTCATTAAATTAACAGTGCAGTTATCGAATACGAACTTTGGGGAGTAGGGATCCCCAATGCTCGCAATTGGGGAACCTCTGAACTCGGAATAACGAGTCCAACTACCGAACTCCGGTAATTTTAAAAACATTTCGATATAATCTAGATCGAGTTTTTCGAACACTGACGATTCGGACTCCCATTTGATCGGGGCCCCGGGCAGAGATGTCTTTTTTGGCTCTAGGATAATCCGCTATCGCGGCGATCGGTGCAAAAAGCAGACATCGTTGGCGAATGGACCCTAAGCGCTGCTTCCTTACTCTTCGCGAGGAGTAACTCCTCTCACTTGGCGATTCGTCGTTGGCGAGAACGATACTCTTCCGTTTGGTGCTCTCGGAAGCGTATCGTTGTTGCCGATGACGTATCGCAAAGACGGATGCTCCCGACGAACCTACGAATCTAACCCTGTCACGTTTCCCCGTAATCAATTCATCGTTTCGCTAACCGTTCCGTTTCTTTGATTTCAGTGGACCCCACGTCTCGTATGCTGTACGGGAGCGGTTACACCGGCAATCTGTACCGGAAGGCACGGAAATTGGAGACGTCGGAGGTCGTCTTCAGATCGCGTCGACTCAGATACAGCAGGAAGGACCACGTGTGCCCCAAGTGCGGGAACGGTTACACAGTGGCGAAAAGTCTGAACCGTCATCTCCGTTACGAGTGCGGCGTCGCGCCGCGATTCAAATGTCCTTACTGCGGCAATCGTGGCAAGCAGAGGGCTCACGTGAAGGACCACATACGTAGAATACACTCGGGTCAACGTGTCTACATCATCGACTCGCCCTGATCGTCGAGGTGTCAAGCTCGTTGATTCGACCGTTTCCCAGTTTTTCTCTGTTCGTCGCGCGTTTCCTTCATAGGATTCATCGCGCACCTAATCGGGGCTGCTCGTAGGGGCACGGAACGCGCTCGTAGCGTCGCATGAATTAATCTTTGACTACCGAATCGCGTCGATTCGGGAGAAGAAATCTTCTTTGTTTGAAAAGAAAACCATTTCTATTGGGCTACGAACGTGTTCCATCGCGCTGCTTGCCGACGCCGGCCGTCTGGGCACCCGACGCGTTGCACCCTCAGCCCCTGACAGCGATAAGTTCACGAGGAATTGTGCTGTTGCAGACTTTAAGGCCGTCGATGTTACTTCGAACCTCGTTGGAACATGGCGCTGTCCACGATGGCCTCTTTTTCTCCGTTGAATGTTTCTCATTGGTTCCATGCTGTATTAATTTTGTATACGATTCACGAACAACGCTGGTTACAACCGTTCTTTTGTACATATGATCGAATAAAAGCATTCCAACGATGCTACTGTGGATTTGAAGAGTGCAGCGGTGCCCGAGGTTGGTCGCGAATTTCAGGAATCGAGTTTTCGTACTTCGTGCCGAGATCTCGCGTTTATTTCGATTTATTTTGTCACGCGCTGTTTCTTCGTTCCTCCAAACATTTTTCAGTTCTCTCGACGACGATATACGGATTCGCGACAGCTTTCAGCGACCAGGTGACGGGATAATAACTCGCGGGAAAGTAACTCGATCTCTTTCGTAACGATTAAACAGACAAAAAAAGAAATCTTCCATCCCATAACTTTTTTGTTTTTCCATTTATTGCCCGGCCGGTCACAAAACACGTCTTCGAAGATTCTAATTCCTCGTTTGTTTGATCTTTCTTCTTTTAGACGTCAAGAGAATCAAAATCGAAGCAGACCTGGAGAACCTGTGCTCGGTGGTGATGGAAGAGAAGAGGGACTTCGATTACGAGGAAGAGAAACCTTTGAGCTCGAGAAGACGAAGAACCAACACCCTCAGGGACATCGAGAGGCACACGTGCTCCAGGTGCTCCAAGAGTTACATTCACGCCTGGCATTTAAAGAGGCACACCAAGTTCGAATGCGGCCAGGAACCGAAAGTCCAGTGTCCTTACTGCGCAGCCCGGATGAAGCAACGCGGTCACGTTTACAGACACATCCGCCAGTGCCATCGCGGTCAGAACGTCTACGTGATCGATCTCAATTAGCGATCTGCGCGTCTACCTCGTTTCTCGCGCGCTCCATGTTCCTGTTTATCGCTGAAACCTGCTCGCATAAGAGAGCGGAGAAGCGATCATTTTTCGCGGACTCGAAACTTACGTGTCATTTATCGTTCGAGACGTTAAACTCCCGATTAGGAGACAATCGAATCGACTGCTGTGTGCAATGTTTGTAGAATATGGTTAACGATGCGACGTACGGCGAACGACGTCTTTCCCTTTGGAGAAACTAAGGGGCCTCTTTACCGTAAACGCGTGAACAATGATTTTTGAGGACTCGATATTCTGCACGACGTTTATCCCTCTGTATCTTCTTCTACCCGTTTCTATCCTCCTTTTGTCCATTTACTGGTTCGTGGAATGGTCTGGAAAAAGATACGTGGTTATATTTGTTACAGAATCGTTGAAACTATTTTTACACGAAAAGAAGAAAATAACCAAAGTTTGTCGAAGGTAGGGGGACCCCTTATCCAAGCAAGGCTCGTTACGAGAGGTTCCGTCGCAGAGGCAGAGTACTTCAGACTATTTTACTTAAAGTTATCATTTTTTATTAATCCGTTCTGTTACCATAATTTTATTGTACGCATTACGTGGACGAAAAAGTATTAGAGAGAATAAATTCCAAATAAGAACACGATCGATTGTTTCTGTAAGTAGCGATACACTTTACGTTGCTGCGTTCTCATTGCTCCATCCCCTTCTATCGTGTACGATTGTTCTGTTGATAACGTGTTGCGATGTCGGTTTGATCGCGGAGCGGGACGAGATTTCTAATTGGACACGTTCGATTTCAGGTACGCGTCAAAGCACGTTGCGTAACCTCAGGACGGATGCGTCGCGGCGGCGCGCAGGGATCCATGGATCGGTGCAGAATCTCTGTCTGAGAGTCGGCGAATCATCGGCCAGTTTCTGTCCACAGTGTTCCGCCAAGTTCGATCAGTTGCGCGATCTTCGCGCGCACATGATGCAAGTTTGTAAATTAACGTCGAAGAAGATATGCCCGTACTGCGACGCCCAGGCGAATGCCTCCGACGAGATCCATCGACACATCAGAAATCGTCATCCCAGCATGCGCCCCGCCGTTTTAGAGGTGTACAATATGCAGAGAAATTGAACGACGAGAACATTCCTCGAGAGAAACACCTTCATCGAGGCTCGTTTCTGCTATTTTCATACGTTCCTTTTTTTTTCTTTTCTACTCGAATAAATGCTAGATCGTTCCTTTCTCGAGCAATCTGTAAACGCGTCAATGCGGTTTGTATATTAAAATATTTAAAAACCTGTGTGTCGTGACGATTAAAGGATGTTTTAAATGGTAGTTGGGTTTCTTGTCTGACAAAGCATCCCCCAATTCGAAGCGTTTGCACGTTCATGGTCAACTAACGTCCCCCGTTTTCTTCTTCCTTGTGACTTGCAGAGTTTCCGTGCGTGGTTATTCCGAAGAGATACCAGGGGGACTGCGGCTACCCGATGATGCCCCTGATCAAGAACCTGGCGAACTTCTGGGTGTCCAAACGTGTCGACTTTCCGTATCGATGCGAGACTTGCGGCAAAGGTTACCAGCATCGCGCCACTTTGGTCAGACACACCAGGCACGAGTGCGGCAAGGAGCCGCAGTTCAAGTGTCCCTACTGCGCTCACAGGACCAAGCAACGCGGCAACCTCTATCAACACATTCGAACTAATCACCCTGGCAGAAACGTCTTTTCCAGCACCATTTAAACTAACGAATCCGTTTCGTTTCCGCTTTCTTTTTAGCACTGGACGCGTTTGCGGAACCGTGTATACTCGATGGAACAAACTTAGCGACGCTATGCTCGTAAATCGACCCAGAAATTCTGACTGGATACTTTCTACTGGATGTTCTCGCGTAGTTATCCAGAAAGAAGATCGAACGCTAGATAAAGTCGTTGTATTTGTTCGATATACTGTATAGCGATTCTCGGATAACTGGAACGATCCTCATCACTGTGTTCATTTAAACCGATCCGTTGACTTGTAGAGAGCTGCGATAAAATACTCACGTCATATAAAATGTTAAATCTTCGAACTTTCTACTGTTAATCGTCTTTGTTACTCGAGGCTGGAGGTACGGAGAAACTTCATATCGCTACAGTTATCCGAGGATTGATGCATCTCACGCGATATACTTTTCTTGCGTTCCAAGCGAACGTTCCAAAGTTCCAACGACTAAATAAGTTTCAAACAATTCGCTTCACCTGCGCAAAGTTTTTGATTCCCTGCTCGAGAACCACCTTTCGGTAGATGCCAACGCGTAGGCAGATGTAAGTTATAGAAAGATCCTTTGTCGAGCTTAAGTCGTCGGACGAAATTCTGTAACGCGATAGAGTAACCCTATCATAGGGTAGACATTCGATAGGAGAATTTGCATCGTTCGAGAGTAAAATCGAGCGATCGCTCGACCTCCGCGCGATCGCACGACACGTGTAAATCTATCCGTGCGTCTGTAGGCATGTGCCAAATTTCACGACAAATAAAGAGCAACGTTTGTAAAGCATTTGGACATACACACATCGCTGTTCCAACGCATATATTGTTCTTGATCCGTTCTCCTTTGTGTACGTCGAGGCGTTTTCATCGTTTTATTTGGCTTGCATCTGGTCCAGCCGTCTGGTCGCAAATCGCAGATACCTAGACGAGACGGCGCGTTGCATTGTACCGTTTTTCGAGAGACGAGTGCTTCCCGAACGCGTTTCGCGCGCAAACGCGCTTTAACGAGAGATTGTTATTCTTCCTTTTTTTCCAGATCTATCGTGGTCCGGCTATCATTACCACGGCGGAACGGTCGACGAACGTAAGATACCGTTAACGTCGAATACCGCGAGCTCGAAGATACCGCAGAGATCTAGCAGCTGCTTGGACAAGAAACCGGGTTGCTTCAGGTGTCCCAGGTGCAACAAAGGCTATCGTTGGCTCAGGAACATGAAGAACCACCTGAGAATCGAGTGCGGGAAAGACCCGAAGGAGTGTTGCCCGTACTGTCCTCATAGAACGAAATACAAGAGCAGCTTGCAGAAGCACATCCTACGCATTCACTTCGGATGATAAGCGAGAAGGTCTCTACGCGACCGTTAGTGATTACCTCGTTGCATTAGTGATTGAAATCGATAAATCGCGCGCGTGACGAGTACCAGAGTGGTCTTCTAAGAGTAGAATCGGTGGAGGGTGAAGTGTGTACATACGCATGTATATTTATATATAGTCGGACAGAGCATGTCACAAGTGTTTGATCGAATGTTTGCTCTGTAATCAATAAATTATTCATGGAACGAGAATCACGTTGATGTCCCACGACAGTCTCGATCATCCTTAACGAGACGCTACGAGCTGCGCGGCTTCTCGACGTTGTAAGGGGAGCTGTTTGCCATCGCGACAACACGCTAACTAGAATATTTGTTTCAGGTAGCAAGTACGTATGCGAGTGGTGCAGTCGACCCTTCGTCTGGTCCTCGAGTCTGATCTATCATAAGAAAATGGTCTGCGGCAAACCACCGAATTTCTACTGCACCGTCTGCGACTACAAGTCCAATTTCAAGGGAAACCTAAAGAGGCACTTGATAAGCAAACACCAAATGGAATTGCATTAGCGCCTCGTTCGTTCTGAAATCGAATTCTCGACGAACATCGAAACCCGTTACTTGTGTTTGCGATTGAACTGTGTGACTCGACGACAACCTTGCGTAATAAAGTGCATTCCTTCGAGCCCGAGATCTATCCTTCATTCGCTGAATCGTCTACGAATATTTTCGATCGTGTACGGTTTTATTCGATACGAACTATTCGGACAGAAGCGTTCCCTTATTCGAAGGAAATTGTCCGAAGAAACTCGACTACACCCACGACTCACCTTTTCTTTTCTACCCGCAGCTTTATACTACACACGGTGACATACTCGCCTTAATTAATCTGCCAAGCTATGCGTTCTATGAAAAAACGATTGTACACAAAATTTGCATGGTTTCCATAGCGTATGTATTTCTTGTGTCTTGTATTTTAAAGATATTAAGGTCAATTTTGTGTTTTCCCAATGGAATATCCTTTTACACCGGAGTTCCATGTTCGAAATTATTTCTCGGGAAATTCCTCTTTCCCTTAGGAAAGAAATTTCTGAAACAGAAAGACTATCGAACCCTGAGTGTACTTAATCATTTGCTTCGTAAACGCCAACCCGAAGATTCAACGTCGTCATAGATTTCAGGTGTTTCTTTGCTTCCGATTGGAGAGCAGGTAACTTGAGGGAACAGGATCTGCAACCGTA